AAAATAATGCTGAAAGAAATTCCTCATTCATATCGATTAACGGACTTCTAAAAGGATAGCCAGAGGATAAATTCTTATAAGGGAGTTTATTGGGTCAGAAGGAATAATACAAATGGTGAGAGCCAAAGCGGGGAAGTGCGGCTCAGAGTGGACAAGACGATGGAAAAGGCCCATTTGGGTGGCCCCCTATCATAGCCAGCCACCCAGGGCCAATTGATTCTGGGGGGATTTCTCAAGAAAAAGTGAGACCGGGTTTTGGCCTATTATATATTAGCTTGGTTATTTTAATTATGAAAAAATAAATTTATTTCCCTAGAAATGGGTACATAGGGGGAACGACAATGGCATGGAAGGAATATGAGTGTTCGACTTAGAGAAGCCTTAGCTCAAATGCCAGCTCTGCTTCTCATCTAACTATGTGACTGAATTAATTAGCTACATATGCATATAAAATTACCTCTAAACTCAATGGCTCAAATGACATTTAGTTCACAATTCTGCAGGTCAGCAATTTAGGCCAGTTCTTCTGGTATCCCTGCATTCCCTCAGGTGCCCACAGCTACCCACAGGTCAGCTCAGTTTTTCTGCTTCCAGGCTTTGGCAGGCTGTCTGTTAACCTCTGTACCTCTGTTCTCCTTGTGGTTTCTCATCCTCCGGTAGGCTAGCCCTAACTTGTTCTCATGGAAAAAGCAAGGTTCAAGAAGGAGGGTGGAGTGTGCAAGACCACATCTAGGGATATAGGTGTGGTACATTGCCACTTCCCCCTGCATTCTGTTTTCTAAAGCAAGACCCAAGGCCAGCTCAGATTCAAAGGCTGGGAAGAAAGTAGACTGGCAAAGTCACACAGCAAAGAGAGTAGGTACTAGAAGGCCATTAATTAGGGCCATAAAACTGCAATCAATCTACCACAGTGACCTTGGGCAAGCTAACTTATCTTTCTGAGCCTCAGTTCCACTGTGTTTGAACTGAAAATAACACATATTTGAAAGGGTTTTAATAAAGAATAGAAATAATGTACCTGTTACTATTACCAGTGAGCGTAGCACTTACTAATTTATCTGAAAACTTTGTGCCATAAAGCCATAGCTTTCTTCTTGCCCTTGGTTCAGTGCAAGTCTGTTCCAGCCCCAGGGCCTTTGCACTCGCTGTTTCCTTTATCTAGAATGCTCTTGTCCTGGATTGTCAGGTGACTAGCTCTTTTCTTTTTACTCAGGGCTCAGTTCAATTCTCCCATCCTCAGATATGCCTCCCTAACCAACCTATCCATTGCCCCTACTCCTCATCTTCACCTTCACCCTCCATAATTTTTTTAACTTTAACTATTAATTTCAGAGAAAAAGGGAGAGGGAGAGAGAGATAGAAATATCAATGATGAGAGAGAATCATTGATCAGCTGCCTCCTGCACGCCCCACACAGGATTTTGCATGTGCCCTGACCGGGAATCGAACTGTTACCTTCTGGTTCATAGGTCTACGCTCAACCACTGAGCTACACTGGCTGGGCCAAAAATCTGTATCTTATCAGGATCTCCCAGCATTTCTGGTAAATGCTCAAGTTTGAGAACCACTGCTTTAGATGTACATATGGAAAGAAAAAGATTTATAGCAAACGTCCAATTTGAAAATTTAGAAAAGTAACATTAAAATCAATCCAAAAGTAATAGAATTAAGAAAATAATAATGTTAAGAGCATAAAATTATTTACAATCTATGTATTTCACTGTCTTTAATTCTGGGTTAGGACCCTTAGAAAGATACTATCTTTGCTTCTGGATTGTAACAATCCCAATTTTCTGCCAGGTTCATTCTGATGAGGCAGTGCATCAGTGTAAGGAAATTGGGCAAAGAAAAAAGTAATACCCAGAAGGACATTTGAAGATATCTCATTCTTGATATCTATGCAGATGTATGCATACATTTTTCTGGATAGAATCGTAAGAAAGTATTAAGAATTCTTTTCTTTGGGGAGAGGTACTTGTGGTAAGAGGGGTAGTTTTTATTTAAAAATATTTCTATTGAGTTTACATTTCTAACCTTATACATTTCTAACCTTATAAATTGCTAACTTATTTTTAAAAGTGATCACAAGGCTTATTTGGACTATGAGGTTATGGGCAATTTTTATTTCCTTAAAAAAAAAAACTTGGTTAATATTATAGTATTGTTAACAACGACAAAACAACAAAAACATGCCCCCAAACTGGACTGAGTCAGAACTTTTATTTCCCTAATGTAATTCACAATCTCCTTCTGAGAATAAACTAGCATACCTGATAAAATGTATTAGCAATTACCTGATAAATCTAAGGGAATTTAACACTTGTTCTAAGAAACCCATTCATTTCAGTTGTCAGTCAAATGCCTGTCTCTAACCAAACATAATTTTATGTTGTACCTAATCTAATGATTATCTGTATCTGTAAAACGTCCCTATCAAGAGTAAATCTCTGAATTGGTTTGGTAGATTCCTTTTCCTTTGCAGCAAAACTTCTTATAAATTCTGATAAGTGGTCATAACTAACTTGCTTGGAAATGTTTCCTTTAAAATAGTATTTAAACATGTTGTAAAACCTTCAAACGCCTGGGTAATGTTCACACCCATTACTAGTCTAAAGGATGGGATTATAAATGACAGGGCCATAGAACTATAGGAAGAGAATGTAATTCATTCATTCATTGGACGCAAGGCTTTGAAAAGTACTTAGGTGTGTACCACGTGCCAGGCACTGTTCTAGAATCCGCCCATTCAAAAATGAACAAATGGGATTGGGGAATAAAACTACAGTTCTCACAATATCATGCTCTTCCGCCCCTTTCCAGGTGGGCGCTTCTTTTCTTTTTTCAATATATTTTTTATTGATTTCAGAGAGGAAGGGAGAGGTAGAGAGAATCATTGATTGGCTGTCTCCGGCACGCCCCCCAACTGGGGGAATCAAGCCGGTAACCCGGCATGTGCCCTTGATCGAAATGAACCCAGGACCCTTCAGTACGCAGGCTGAGGCTCTATCCACCTGCCTCTATCTAGGGCCAGGTGGGCGCTTCTTGCCAATATTCTCTTCCCATGATTCGCTTGTGCAGAGAAGCCCCGCCCACTCACCTGCCCTTTGCTTAATTTCCTTAGCAGACGGACTACAACTCCCACAATGCCCCTGTGCCTACCCTATAAGGGCACAATTCTCCAAGGTCCAGCGAGGGATGACTACATTTCCCAGGGAGCTTTGCTTCCGCTCTCGGTGGTATTGCCCGTCTCCCAGTCCGGGACGCGGTGGAAACGAGCGATCGTGCCAGGCCGGGGGTGTTCCGTGTCCTTCCCCAGCGCAGGGACGAGGCAGTGACTGGACTCGGGCGCCGAGCCCGGCAGGGAGTACCGGAGGCCGCGATCTCTCCTGTCCCGCTCCCTTCACGCTACTCTCCGTCTCCTACCCCGCCGCCGCCTGGACGGCTCGGGA